AAGAGTTTTATTTAGTATTTACCCCCCCCCCCCCCGAAAAATAGTTTCGCACAGAAGGGACAACACCTCGTGTTAGTAGAGAGTGGCCCACGGAATTGGATCTCACAGAACTACCTCTTGAGCGACCTTCAAGTGGCCACTGGACAACACAGTAGAGGGAAAATAATGTCCCAGCTGTCCTGTTATACGAGAGCACTGTAAGGTTCGTTGCAAGGTAGTTGAACCAATATTTTAACATTCAGAATAATACAAATTAAGTGCCTAACCAAATGAATGTACACTGTACAAGCACGTTGTACAGTCGTTGGTGACCCGGACAGAGACCACCTACTCCCCGCACTTCATAATCCAGTGAAATCACAGGCGGGGCTTGAACTTTTACTCTGCATCTCAGTGATCGTCCCTCAGCCAGCCGGCCACCTCCATGAAGTTTCCCTTAACTATCAGCTGGTTATGTAAGTACTGCACGTTGAACTTCTTTCGCACCCTACGTAGCCAACCGTGCTAATCGGAGGCGCGGGAAGCAAGGGGACGTCGAACTAAACGCACGCAAAAAGCAACCGCAAAGAAATGCGTTCTCAATTCTAGATTTCAAAAGTTGATAGCTAAGTACTCTTAGTTCTTTCGGTAAAGTCACGTAGGTAAAAAATGAAATTAAAATGAATAAAAATAAAAAATGCATTAATTGTAATTTCAATTTTTTACCTACGTGACTTTACCGAAAGAACTAAGAGTATGAATCCTTGCAGTCACGAGAGCTTCAAATCTAGAAATAAATGGATAGCTAAGGCTGCTTCCATAAAACGAACAATCTCTCTCCCGGCTTGTGGTCATCCTCCCCTCTCCACCCTCAACGTAGACCGCGAGACGGCACCACCACCACCACCACAAGAAAGAGCCTCTCCCACCGGGCTCCAAGCCACCTTGAGCCCGAACAGCTGGAGGCGTTGACGGCGCGGCTCAGCCAGGGAGCGTCCCAGCGCGCTCCCGACGCGATGAGGATCCTTCCTCGGCGTGAGCGACAGACCATGGGGCTACTCGCGTCGTACGCCTGGCGCGGATGGAATTGACTTTCATAATATAGGGATGGGTTTCGATTTAAAGCTTTCGTGACTGCAGGGATTCATCTTCTTGGTTCTTTCGGTAAAGTCACGTAGAAGGGAAGTAATAAAATAATAAAAATAAAACATAATAAAATAATTCTCACGACGTTTCGGCCACAACGCAAGCAGCCGTCCTCAGGTGAAAACCAGGTCTGTCGAGGCGACAGCGTCTGAATGAAACAGCACCACGCTTGGAGCATATATTTAAGCTGGGTTGGAAGGGGGGGAAAGGGCGCCTTGACAAAAGAATTTGCATATCAAGAGGAATTTATCATATTTATGGGAAATGCAGGTATGTGATTAGTACTACTTATGCCCGTGCATTATGCAGGATTAGCAGCATCAAAATATAGGGATGGTTTTTTTTTGGGTCGTAAATATATCAATGTGTCGTTAAACCCCGCCGCCACCGAGAACACAGCCAGTTAGTAAGGTTTGTCGCGTAAACAGAACATGCCAATTCGTTACGAGTACAACATAATACAGGTTTTTTTTTTGGTTGGGTTAGATCGCGTAAATATGTTAATGTGTCGTTAAACCCCACCGCCACCCCGAACACAGCCAGTTAGTAAGGTTTGTCACGTGAACAGAACATGCCAATTCGTTACGAGTACAGCAACATCGGGTGTGTGTTGGAGAGCAAATCCACAACTTTTACAATGCGAGTACGAGTGTTTCGCCAGTAATTACAACTAGCATCATCAGACGACAGCCAGATTTGTGGAGAACTCATCGTGCAAGGCTGTGAGCCTCTCTGGACAGGGTAGCTTTGGGCTAACAAAAGGCGACGCTGGTGGCGCTACTTAGCGGGCCTTGATTTCAAACCAGAAGTTGTCCTGGAAAACGATGTACTCCCTCCCCCTGTTAACTGGACCCCAACTGGTACGTAACGACAATGTAACAGCACTTCAAACGTGATTACGGTTTAATTTAATCTCGTTCGCTTACCATCAATGTGAGAATCCCAAGAACACCGCACACGTATCGTCCACGTGCTTGACTGATGCAGAGCAGTGCCCTTAGGGCAGATGCAGAGGCTGGCTGAAGTGTTTGTTTCGTTTTTCAATCCTGGGAGCCGAATCCGACCTGCTCCCAAATTTCGGCTTCACCGCGAGAGGCGGTGCCGTGAACATGTCAGCGACGTAAATTCTAGCGATGTCGACGATGATGATCATGATCATGTCGTTGTTGCTGTTCGTGATATTAATAAAAGAAAAACAAACCGACGGTGGTCTGAACGCCCATGAGTGAGTTATTGTCAATCGGCGAAGCGGTGGCTACAAGACAGCCAGTCCAGGTGTATAGATGGCATCTACAGCAGGGGACCAAGACGCTCAAATAAGGGGAGGGTGGGGAGGAATTGATTTGGTAATTGCATTTTTAAAATTACCTAGCCGATATATATAGTGTTTTTTTAAAAAATGTTAACACTTATATGGGACCGTCGTTTTTAATGGAAAAAGAACGGATAATACACTTAAACATGATAACAAAAGTACGTTAATAGCTTCAAAAAGTCAAAGCGTCTCCCACGTGTTCGCCATCATTGTCAACGCGTGCCTGGAATCTTCTCCAGGTGGTCTCTAGAGCCCCGAAGGCACATTTGTCGTGGTATAGTTGCAAATTCTCAGAAGTGTGAACATTTTTTGAAGCACGCTGTATTAAGTACTTCACGAGCAAGTAACACAAATATCTCTGAAACAAATTAGGTGAGCAACGATAACCGTTAGATAGTTGAAAACGGACTAAACGATTATCGTGAGAATTTATATCGTGCGACGTATCGTGGTGTGGATGTATGCTGACACCCTCTCTCATCAGTGTCGGATTATCCTAGTAGCAAAAGTAGCTACATATGTAGTAGCTACACATGCAGTAGCTACTACATACGCATCGCACTAGGTACTCATTTGAGGCTGAGTCGACCTAGGGGAGGCCCAGGACCGGTTCAGATAATCGTCACTGGTGTTGACCGTGAGCGGGAATTGAACTCGGGTCGCCGCGTTCGCAGCGCAGCGCGCTAACCGCTGCACCACCGCTCCCCACACACAACACGCACTGACACACAGAGCAAGGCACCCCAACAACCCGGGCGGTACCAGCAGAGGGCGCTGTTTACATCTCAACGCCAGCACAGAGAGTTGGGGCACTAAAGGATTCATTCACCAGGGACGCGTTTCGTAGAATCGTCGGCATCGTGGTTCGAGAAACAAAAATGCCACTGCGGTCCTGGGATCACGAGTTTTATTTTTCTCGGCGTCTTCCCACCCCCATCCCCAACATCTCGCGCCCTCCTCAATCACTGAGAGTGATGGTGTCCATGGCAGATGACTCTACACCTTTCGCGATGTTTGACGTCACGTTTTCGGACCGATCCGAAACAATTCCTTCCTCGTACCGATCCGAAATGTCGCGTCCGTGCACCATTTTCAGTGATTTTTTTCTTCTTCCTTAAGATGAATCCAAGAATCGACGACGCAATCCCTAACCGCTTGTTTACTACATTACGGGTACCCGCCAATCAGAGGTGGGTGCCACCTTTGTCTCCTGTGACTTAAAATGAAAACCAATTTAGAAGCAAAAAAAAATGACATTGTATCGCCTTGTAGATTATTAAATTGGCGGTCAATTTGTTATTTGTTTTTTTTACCATCAGCATCACCAGTCATCACCACTAAGGCGGCTATTGCACGGCGGTGGTGTCAATGCACGTGGCCTTAATCCAGCAAACTGCGGTGGCAATTTCGCGAAACTCTCTTCTCGCTGAGCGCCGTGGAGGTGCCATACCCTGGCTTGCCAGTAGATGGTGGCACAACAAGTGTGCACTTATCGACATCTGTTCCATCTGTATGGGATAGAGTGCTTGGGTTTTCTTCGAAAATTGATAAATACTTATTGTCTAAAACCATATCTATGCGTTACCAATTGTAAAAACGTTGTGAGATGCAATCTGCATGAATGCCGCTATAAAAAAAATTAATAAATTATCATAATCATATCCAGCACGACACACGCCGCGTGGAGTAGCCTCGATCCAGCAGCAGTGGATCGACGGACGGGCTGTACATGCACATGTGCACTCACAAAAGTTGCATTTGTAAAAGGGGGATCGTTCTGAGCGCTGCTGCAACTCTGGGATCAGTGCCTTTCAGGAAGGAGAGAGAGAAAAAAAAGAAATCATCGCGGTCTGAGAAACAAAAAATGTCATTGTCACCTTCATGCCAAATACTCAGCCCACATCTTAGCGCGCCCGTGACGAGTGGGATCTGCCCGGCGACTTGACGCGTTACGGTGGTGCCACATCATCACTCGGGAGAGCCTCGCTTGAGGAAATATTTAAAGCCTCCGTATTAATTGGAGGCATTCCGGGTTGTTTGGTTTCAACTCAGAAGCCGAGCAGGGGGTGAGCGTGGATCCAAGCGTGCTTGGACGAGTGACCACTATGTAAGCCAGGATTGTCGATTCTGGGTTTCACCGCCCATAATTGAATTTCCTTCTCGGTTGTGGCGAATTCAAGGTCTCTGCCGAGCCATAAATTTAATGCACGCAACAAAAAACGCCATCACATAAAATCCCACAACTGGATTTGTTTTTTTTCTCTCTCTTTCTCTCGAATTAAGTATTTGAGCTGATATTTGACGCACACCCATTATTTTTTATCTCATGAATCCACGACCGCTTGAGTTCCCTGAGGCTCCGAAGCTTTCACTTGGGTTTGCATTGACCTCGTGCGCACACCATCGGAACCACTTTGACAGAGGTTCGGGTTTGAAGTCTCGGGGGCCCCGACGAGGGAAGAGCCAGGGTGGCGATTCTCTCTCTCTCTCGCAAATATTTGCCGTGTCCGAGACAAATATTTACCCCCCCCCCCCGTGCAAGCAGAGAAAGAGAGAAAAAAAAGAATGATAATATAAATAAATGAACGGCTTTCCGCAGTTGGCCCTCTTTCGTACAAACACACACAGTCTTCTGCTGCGAGTCTGCACAGATCCTCTCTTCTTCCTGGCTCCGAGAACTACCACTGACAAGGTACCGTATGGCAATTCATATTTACTTTCGTTTGACTTTACAAATTGTTGCTATGTGATGTAGTAACTGTACGGTCCTTTGTCAAAATCCACTGCTGGATGAAGGCCTCCGCGTCACGGCTGCCACCCGTCCTGGTTTTTCCCAGGATCGTCCTTGATTTAAAGGCAATGTCCTGGGAAATCTAATTGCACAGATACACTGTGTCAGTCGGACACACTGAGTCAGTGTCTGAAACGTGTTTTTTTGCTCTGGCAATGTATCCCATTGTCGGTGACGGGAAAAGTCGACGCAACACTGATTTTTCACCGGAACATGATTTGGACCCTTCATGTATAAACTAGGGTTGCTGCAGTATGGCGATGTATTTGTACGGTGTAAGATTCACGATGGATAAGCCACGATTACCGTCTGTTTATCTTAGTATCGTATCGTGATTATCGATACTTAGCTTTTGTGGTTAATGCAGACATAATTCCTTGTAAAAGGTTTCAGTTTGGTGTTTTAACATCTTAACACAACTGTTTTGTTGCCAGAAAAAAGGGGAAAAACCCTATTATCTTATTAATTGCCTTTTGAAATATTATATTTCTACTCACAAAATATGAAATAAACAACCTCAATAAATGAAAGTTGTAAATAAATCAACAGCATATTTATCCATGCAAAATAATTCGAGTTGAAGCCAAATGATTTCCGGAGTAATAATCAACAAGGTGGTGATATGACGCTCACCACCTGAGTAGTTCATTTCATTCTTGAATGACTTTCTGGTGTGTAAATACACGACATCGATTGCAGTGGTTATAAGTCCCGTGGCAGGTTTACGTTTGAGCGAACCGCAGTTTGAATCACTTTCAAGTGCACCCTCGTTCGCAACTCAAAGCACAACGACGCAACATCACGATGCGACGACGTTGCGACGTCAAACATCGTTACAAATGTGTGGGGATTCACGTCGCGATAATCGTAACAATGAATGGCGTGTACGTATCGCATTATTCATACGTTTGATTTTTTTTTGCAACAAGATCAGCAGAGATTAAAAATAAAATAAAAAAACGTTGTTGGTATTTGCAGAATAAGCTTGGTAGATACGCGTATCGGCCATCTGAGATAGGCTCTGACAGGGCAGCCCCTATCAAAGGTCAATGACAGGCACGGGGGGACGTTTGTTTAACGCTGGGGTTTTTTAGGCGGGGAGCGGTGGCGCAGTGGTTAGCTCACTGCGCTACGAACCAAGCGACCTGCCTTTAAAGCTCCGGCCGCGGCTGATATCAGTGGTGAGTGATGAATCGGAACCGGTCCTACTACACCCCCCGCTGCCCCCCTGCCCCAACTCGCACCGACCATCCTGGTGAGGTATGGTCAAATAGCCCGAACGACCGAAACGGTATGGGGAGGACAATTCATCCAGCAGTGGATTGAGCAAGGACTCAATCCTTGCGTTACATTAGGAGGAGGGGGTGGGTAAAGTGTAAGGGGCTGGTGATTGGGATGCGGATGAGGAAATGCGGTCAGGAAGAGTTTTCTCTGAACAACAGAGCTCACCCGCGGACTGAAGTTTAACAAACAGCACAAAACTGAAAGACGGAGGGGGGGAATTTCACCATTCTCGCTTGCGTGGGAGACCTCGCGGATACGTGTGTGCCTATGTGTGTGCAGACCTGGTGGGGAGCGGTAGTGTAGCGGTTAGCGCGCTGCGCTGCGAACCTGGCGATCTGAATTCGATATCCCGCTCACCGCCAACACCCAGTGACGATTATCTGAATCTGTCCTGGGCCTCCCCTAAGTCGACTCAGCCTCAAATAAGTACCCGGTGCAATGTGCGAGCATCGCCACTAGGGAGACAAAGGCGGCCGGGCGTGGTGTTGGCCACCGACCCCCTCGTGTGCCGTGCCGGCCTTCACAGGTGCTCGCGAACAGCACTTGCCCCAACAGTCTATTAAGGCTACACAGGGGATCTTTGTGTTTATTTGCGTGTGTGTGTATGCTCCGATCTCTGCGACGATCAGCGTCACCTGTGGCTAAGCGTGGTTGGCGTGAGCCCTGATGCAAGGCATGACATGGGGCCCACCTGTCCAGTCCGTTCTCCCTGCACAACGCCCCCCCCCCACCCCCCTCTTCACGGACTGGCGTCTGTTCGCCTTCGAGCCACGGGCCACGTGCCCCCGTGCAGCTGCACCGCCTGCACACTCGATAGCTACGCGATTGCTAATTAATAAATGAAATGAAAAGTTAATTCAGTTCATCTGTGGGGAGATGACACAGTGGCAACCATTGGACAGCGAATTTTAATGCGTTTTCAATTAGGCGGGCGTGGGTTAGCGTCGTAACAAAACATATTTCCAGGATACCTAAAAAAAATTCACGATGAGAGGCGAATATTGAACGCCGATGCTGATGATGATGGCGAGGATGGTTTCTGGCGTGCTTCTTGCAGGTGAAGATGAGGAAGTTGCTGGTGCTGCTCCTCTTTGTCTCGCTGCTGCTGGATCTGGCCACGGCCCAGGATCCACCGAGAGTGCGTATCTCAATGTCACAAACACTAATCTACACACACAAAACAAAGATCCCCCGTAAGTCCTTAAATGCTGTTGGGGCAAGTGCTGTTAGCAAGCATTCTATGAAGGCCGGCATGGCACACGAGGGGGGTTGGTGACCAGCACCACGCCCGGCCGCCTTTGTATCCCCATTGGCGATGTTTACACACAGCACCACATAATCATTTGAGGCTGAATCGACCTAGGGGAGGCCCAGGATTAGTTTAGGTAATCGTCACTGGTGTTGGCCGTGAGCGGGAATCGAACACGGGTCGCTGGATTCGTAGCGCAACGCGCTAACCGCCACACTACCGCTCCCCACAAAGACAAACACACACAAAGCCTCAAAGACACTCACTAAGTTACATACACACGCACACAGAGGCTTAAAGACACACATACACACACAATTCTTTATCACTGGTACATCCGAGCCAAGCCAGCGTGGGGCCCTCACTTTACGGGTAGATTTTCCGTGCCGGGCCAGAACCACGCCGTGCTACGCAGGCCTCACAAGACATCAGAAACTAGCTTGGGGCCAAGCAGGGCCAGGCGCGGGGCTAATGACGCTTTCATCGCTGTGGGGACACGGCGTCACCGCGTGGCCTCACGTGTGTCTCGACTTGGTGATTATTAAAAAAAATGAAATTACAATAAAAACATTTTTTTATTACAATACATTTTTTTTAATGACAATTTTTTTTTATTGTGATTGGGTAGTTCTTATAGTTGAACTCTACAACGGTGGTTTTTCAAGTCGCTGGTTTAAGCTAAAGTCTTAATGAGAATGCTGCTTTAAGAAGTTATTTAATTTGGGCACACAACTGGTGGTAATGCAGACAGCGAAGCTACGAGTACGTACAGAGTTGATCATAGTGACTCCCGTTATCGCATTTCAAATTTGTTTAAGTAGTCCTGGATATCCTTTTGGAGGACCCTCAATATCGGAGGTTCTAAGCTGCAGCCTTCTGCATTAGTCCGGTCCAAAGGGCCAACAGGTTATGTGGCCAGTAACAAACAGCACCGTCAAAGTCGTAAGAAACGCGTAACGCGTTTCTTGAATTGAACGACAATGATGAGGACTTGTGGAAAATGGACGACGGGAGGAAATTTCAAAGTCGAGCAGTAAGACGGAAGAGGCAGAAGGGGAGAGAAGTGTTTGCGTGCGGCCTCCAGTGCGTTGGTAGAACGCGGTGTGGACGAGATGGAGCAGTCAATCTGGTAGGCCAAGTCCGCAGCGCGCGAGCGAAGAAACCAACGGGTGAAATTTCCACGAGAAAACAGCAGCCACCGTCGTCGTGATAGAAGAGTGATCAGCAGGCGACTAACCACCGGTGAGCGAGTCCTGACCGTGCCCCCCCTCCCTCCGCCATGCCCCCCACCCGGCTCAACCTCTCCCTCGCAAGGTGAGGAAACCCCGGCCGCCCCCCAAACCCAAGCGTCCACCCAAGAGGCCGGCCAAGCCGCGGGTGACCCAGCCTCCTCCTCCACCTCCTCCTGCAGCGACCGCGGCGGCGGCGGCGGCGGCGGCGGCTCCCAACGAAGACGGCGCGGGCGACGCGGAGGAGGACCTCACTCCGTTCCCCGACAAGATGCTGGCGCGCGCCCACGCCAACTTCGGCCTCGAGGTCTTTCGGCGAGCGGCGGCGGCGGCTGACGAGCGCAGCAACGTGTTGCTGTCGCCCATCGCGTTGTCCACCTCGCTGTCCATGCTGCTACTGGGTGAGGCCCCTACCGCCGTGCGCGCGCGTCGTCAGCCGCCGGTGTTGGGGGTCACGCGCGCGCGAGTGGCCACGGTAGTAGCGGTAGAAGAGTGATCAGGAGGTGACTGGCCACCGGTGAGCAAGCCCTCTGCGCTTCCGTATACACGTGGATATATAGAAATATTTTTTGGTGAATTCACTACTCATTTCGATTTAAAGCTTTCGTGACTGTAGGGATTCATCTTCTTGGTTCTTTCGGTAAAGTCACGTAGAATGGAAATAATAAAATAATAAAAATAAAACATAATAAAATAATTCTGTCATCTCGACAGACCTATTCTCCACCTGAGGACGGCTGCTTGCATTGTGGCCGAAACGTCGTGAGAATTATTTAATGTTATATTTTTATTATTTTATTATTTACATTCTACGTGACTTTCCCGAAAGAACCAAGAAGATCACTACTCATTTTGATTTTAAAAAATCACTAAATAATAACTATAATGCCCTTTATCCCGGAAGAGCCTCGCTGAGTCTCAAGACTCTTTTTTACAGGAGGGTCCTGCCACCCCAATTCGCGTTTAAATAAGGAGCGTTTTACTTCGTGTGGGAGGAAACTGAAGTGCCTGGAGAAAACCCCCCACGCATACGAGGGAGATGCCAGCACTCAGAGGTACGCACGAACGGGTCCATAAACCCACTTGCTGTACTGCCATATCCTGGCTAATGACGAGAAAGGTCGCACTCGTTACACACAAAGTGCTTGCCACAAATGAACCACAATGCCTTGCTGATTTCGTCAAGGAGCATAAACCATCATCACGCGAACTCCGCTCATCCTCGCAGCCATCGAACAAAGACGGTCACTGCATTGGGCGCTTCAGATTGGCTTTTGTGGCCGTCTGGAACGCTCTTCCTTCCGATATCAGAAAGCCACTGAAGTTATCCCATTTTAAATCATCTGGATTGACAAACTCATTTATTTAGAACTGCCTTTTGTGTTTTTAGTTTGTTGTCCTTCCCCCGCACCTCCGATTAGCACGGTTGGCTACGTACGGTGCAAAAGAAGTTTCACATACATACATACATTCGTATAGAAAGCCCAAGCGGGCTGGAAGTTTTAACTGATCCACGAAAGCTTGGCTCCACGGTACCCGATCACGCTCGTGTGGCGTCGGAGTGAGCCAAGCATTGACCAAGGGGGAAAATAATTAAGCCCAGACAATCAATGGTGGATCAGCCTACAATGATGGATGTTCGAGTCAGATGTCATCCGTGCAACAGTTAAGGACCTGGCAGGACGGGGGAAGTGGTTGCATCAGCAGCACTGGCCGTGATGACCTTTTGAACTCAAAAGTTAATGGTTATTTTGTTTATACATTTATTATGCTTGTTTACCCAAAACGGCTCGGAATCAGCAGGTTTACAGCTCAATTCATGTTTAGGGGGAGACTGACTTCAACCCATCATCCCCGTGGGGGTCGATAAAATAGTTACCATTCGGTGTAGAAGTCAACAGTGGTTTGTCCTATAGGCGAGACCTGCCCCTGCCATGGGAATTGTGGATTTTCCACCACCGGCTCAGGTTGTTGTATTTTTTTTCTACAATTCCCCTCTGTTATTTAAGTCGAGTGTCCGTAAATGGATATCTTCATACATTGTATGTTCTGTGTATGCATGTTAGTGTGATGTGTGTACTTGTTGGGTCAACCTAAAATAAACTATTGTTTTTTTTTACCAGGTATGGCCCACTGAGCGATGTAGCTCTTTTTCGGAGGCGACCTGGCCACATACGATAGCTCAACGAAGTGGCTTGTCATCATGTGCACATGTACATAGCAGCCAAATAATCTAAACGCGTGTTGATTCTAAATTTGGAGGGAGACACCGGAGGACCTGGAGAAAAATCCACAAGTCCACGGGGAGAGAGAGAGAGAACATGCAAACTCCAAATACGCTGCAGGCGTGAGGGTGGGGATCGAACCCACGATCTCCTGTATACCAGGCAATGTCATTAACATATCCTAGCTACCGTGATGATGATGAGAGAGAGACACCGCAAACTCCCAATATACAGCAGGCGTCCGGGTCGGGATGGAACCCACGATCTCCTGTATACCAGGCGAGGTAGTTAACATCTCGCCACCGCGGCGCCTCAAAGTGCAGTTCAGAGAGGGAGCATTCTTTCAGGCCGGGACGGCGCTCAAGGGTGGCGAGAGAATAGGTGAGGACTGGGGGGGGGGGGGGGGGGGGGGGGGGGGGGCTAGAGGCGGTATGTCCATGAGCGAGTGCCGGTCGCGTCTCACGGCCGTGGTTGCGTCCGCCCCCCCACCCCCCCACCCCTCGGTGCGGCAGGAGCGGCCCCGGGCTCGAGCTCGTGGAAGCGGCTGAGCAAGGCGCTCAACTACGACACCGTGCAGCAGGGAGACGTGCACGACCTGCAGCGGCAGCTGTTGGCGACACTCGGCTCCGAGGCGAAGGGGCAGCAGCAGCACGCGGCGCGAGTTTACCTGCGGAGAGGTGCGTGCCAGCGTGCTTGCGCGCGCACGTGCGTGCAGAACGGTGGGCGGGGAGCGGTGGTGCAGTGGTTAGCGCACTGCGTTACGCGTGCATGTGTGTGTGCAGAAGTGTGGGGGAAGGGGCGGTGGTGCAGTGGTTAGCGCACTGCGCCAGGTGTGCACGTGTGTGTGTGAAGAACAGTGGGGGAAGCGGCGGTGCGGTAGTTAGCGCACTGCACTATGTATGCGCGCATGCGTTTGTGCATAGAACGATGGATGGGTAGCAGTGGCACAGTGGTTCGCTCAAAACGTCGTCTATTATATTTTATAACATATTTATATATATTTTATTATATTATGTTTTATTTTTATTATTTTATTATTTCCCTTCTACGTGACTTTACCCTTCTACGTGACTTTACCCTTCTACGTGACTTTACCGAAAGAACCAATAAGATGAATCCCTGCAGTCACGAAAGCTTTCAATCGAAATTTATATTTAAATACTTCCCTTTTAAGGCCACTGTTATTAGCGCGTGTGTTGAGCGTTTGTTGTTAATTGTGCTTATGCAGCACTGGTCAATGCAGCAGCTGCATCACCACAAACATAATTAGCTTCGCATTCGGAACGCTTCGAGTGAAATGAGTGTCCGTGCAAACCCACGCGTGTGCGCGCGCGCGAGACTCATGCTGAAGTCGTCTGCACCTCCCCCCCCCTCTTCCTCGCTCACTCCTCCTCGTCCTCCTCCTCCGTCACCGCGCACAGGGCTTCCCCCGAAGGAGGCGTACGTCGCCGACGTTCTCAAGTTCTACGGCACGGAGCCTAAGGTGCTGAGCGGCTCCACGGGCCGGGACCTGCAGGACATCAACGGCTGGCTCTCCCAGCGGACGAGCGGCGTGCTACGTGACGCCGTGCCGGCTCTGCCCGCCGACCTCTCGCTGCTGCTCGTGTCCGCGATGCACGTCAAGGGTCCGACTCGACACTTCAGCACCATGGCCAGCAGCTCGAAAGACAATTATTTACTATTTTTAAATCCTTTATATTAAGTTCGCTTGCTTGCTTGCTTGCGTGCTTGCGTGCTTGCTTACGACCGTGCAAATCTTTCGGTCGTTTTTTAACCCACTTCCCGTGATCCAATCGAGCTGACATTTTCCACACAGACTCGTTGTGCGTGACAATTAATGTTCGTGAAAATTTTTTTTCCAAAATTTTACACTTTTTAGGACAAAAATATTATATTTAATTACCAATTGCTTAATGGTGCAATGCAATCATCTGACCCATAGGAGGCAGCCATCTCAAGCCAGAGGACGAGAGGACTCTAGCCGCCACGCATATAAAGGATTTATAGTGAAAAACTTTGTTTTCACGGGTTATACTTGTTACGATATATATTTTTATTTTACTAGGTAAGGCCCACTGAGCTAGATAGACTCTTTTTCAGTTGCGACCTGGTTATCACAAATAATGGTTCAACGAAGTGGCTTATCATAATCACGTCGAAATGTATAGCAGCCAGATACTCTAAATGCACGACGTGCATCTAAATGCAGAGGAAAAAACCGGAGGCCCCGGAGATAAATCCACGTGACCACGGGGACAAAGACATTTAAACTCCAAATATACAGCAGCAGCAGGCGTCGGCGTCGGGATCGGGATCGAACCCACGACCTCCTGTATACCAGGCGAGGTAGTTAACATCTCGCCACCACAGCGCCCAAATATAATAATACAGTGTAATCATAACACCTATATGAAGGGTGCGTATTTGCGTGTGAGGATGTGCCGAAACATCCTCTACAATTTCAAGACCCCGTTCATCGCTGCGGCGTCTCAAAATGCCACCGCCGTCTCAAGGCCATGGCGTAGCGCGGCTGGCATAGATGGGCTCTGGGTGCAAGGGTTACAATGCCCCCCCCTCTGCTCAATGTCGCTTGCTTTTCGTAGCCAAGAGCCCTGGGCCCCTCCGGCCCGCCAATGCCCCTCGTTGGAGTCGCGCCGCGTGAACACTCGACACCTGCGCCATTGGTGGAGGGCAGCGGTCAGAGCAAGGCGAATCGTGGGCCAAATCCCAGGTCCCGCGACAAACGCGGAGACACTTTCGCCAAAGCTGTAGCCGCACGTCAAAGCAGACGAAACTGAAGCCACTGAGTTGTACCGTGACTTTAATCATCGTCGCCAGAGGCCGATCTGGAAGTGCCCCAAGCGGAGGGCAATCCCGAAAAGTGAAGCTCATTAAACAGGGCCCTATAATCCACAATGATAATACAAAACAACGATCGACGCGTTTTCTCCTCTGTTCAACATCAATAAGCTACCGGCGGTATTGATGTTGCATGACCACGACGACCCGTGACTTCTCTCTCGCTCTGCTGCTGTCACCACCACCACCAACAACCACTCACAGCCAAGTGGGCGCTGCAGTTCCCGCCGGAGGAGACGGCGCAGAGCGTCTTCCACGCGGGCGGCGGGAAGCAGCGGGGCCCCGTGGCGCTCCGCGTGGCCACGATGCACCGTGACGACGTGCCCATCCGCTACGGCCTCGACACCGAGCTCGGTTGCCAGGTAAAGCCGTCGGCAACTCCCCCCCGTCCTGCTCCCCCCCTACTTCCCCCCCTGCTCTCCCCCCCCCTGCCCTGCTCCCCCCCCCCCTGCCCTGCTCCCCACCCCCCTGCCCTGCTCCCCACCCCCCTGCCCTGCTCCCCACCCCCCTGCCCTGCTCCCCACCCCCCCTGCCCTGCTCTCCCACCCCCCTGCCCTGCTCCCCCCCCCCTGCCCTGCTCCCCCCCCGGCCCTGCTCTCCCCCCCCCCCCTTCCCTGCTCTCCCCCCCCCTGCCCTGCTCTCCCCCCCCCCTTCCCCCTGCCCTGCTCTCCCCCCCCCCTGCCCTGCTCCCCCCCCCTGCCCTGCCTCCCCCCCCTGCCCTGCTCCCCACCCCCCTGCCCTGCTCCCCACCCCCCCTGCCCTGCTCCCCACCCCCCCTGCCCTGCTCCCCACCCCCCTGCCCTGCTCCCCCCCCTGCCCTGCTCCCCACCCCCCTGCCCTGCTCCCCACCCTGGCCCCCCCCCCTGCCCTGCTTCCCGATACTGAACTCGACCCTGACCCCGGACCGTGACAGGTGGCCCAGCTGCCGCTGCAGGGCGGCTGCAGCCTGTTGCTGTTCGTGCCCGTGGAGGTGACGGGCAACCTGACGGTGGTGGAGGAGAGCCTCACGTCCGAGTTCGTGGCCGACATCGTGCGCGCGCTGCACTCGGTGCGGGCGCGGCTCTCCGTGCCGCGGCTCGCGCTGCGCGACGCGGGGGACCTGGCAGGAGCCGTCAAGCAGCTCAGTACGACACGCACACACAGAGACCCACTCCCGTAGTGGGGCAAGTGCTGTTAGCGAGCACCTATGAAAGCCGGCACGGCACACGAGGGGGTGGGTGGCCAGCAGCACCACGTCCGGCCGACTTTGTCTTCCGAGTGGCGATGTTTACCACACCGCACCAGGTACTCATTTTAGTCGATCTAGGGGAGGCCCAGGACCGATTCAGATAATCGTCGCTGGAATTGGCCGTCAACTCGGGTGGCCGGGTTCGTAGCGCAGCGCGCTAACCGCTACACTACCGCTCCCCCCCCCCCCACACACAAAAGACAAATATCCCCCGTATAGCGTTAGCAGCCCATTGGGGCAAGTGGTGTTAGCAGACGACGAGTGACGAGGGGGTGGGTGGCCAGCACCGCGCCCACCGCTCCGTGTCCCCGCAGTGGCGATGTTTCTACTGCGCCCCGACCCGGGGAGTTCGCTCGAGATTCACTCGTGCCCGGTCCATTCAGGAATCTCGAGTCTGTTGCACTTTAGTAAAATCTCGTCGTAAAAAAAAACTCACCTTGTTTCAACAGCCTTTCTCCGAAACTCCAGCTTCACGCAAAGCGCTCTAGAGAGAAAAAAAAAACCTGAGTTCATTCGAGTGGCGGTGTTCCCACACCCAACTTTTGTTCACCCCCCCCTCTCCCCAAGCCGTCTGAGCCAGCGCGAGAAAGTTGACCAACAAATGACCTCCCGGGAGGGAGCTCTCTTCCAGAGCTCACCCGAGCCGAGGCCCGTCCGCCAGAGGTCGCAACCGGGTACCCGATACCCGTACCCTACCCGATACCCTGGTGCGGCCGGGTACGGGTAGGCCGTGAGTCACTGATGAGTAACTGTTTGTCACTCATTTCCCAACGTCTTGTCTCTTCACACAATTCAAGTTCCTAGAATTAAGCCACCCGCGCCTGCAACATGGCTTCATCCCAGAGGTCGCAATCAGGTACCCGATACCCGTACCCTACCCGTACCCGGCGGGGTACGGGTACCCGTTTGCGACCCTGGTGCGGCCGGTTACGGGTACGGGTAAGGAATCAAAACCCGTTTGCGACCTCTGACGTTCGCCCGTCAGTGGCGCCAGCGAGCAATCGCTGGGCTGTGGCTCTGCCCCCTTAACGCATCCTCGCCACGTTCACCACGACCGCGCCTCGCCTATCACCCACAGAGCTCGAGTCGCTCTTCTCGAGCGACGCGGACCTCTCCGCGATGTCGGAGGCGCGCGTCGGCCTCGCCGTGTCGGCCGTGCGCCACGCGGCGCTGCTGGAGCTGGCCGAGGAGGGCGGCGGCGTCGTCGGTGGCGGTGGCGGCGAGGCCCTCGACGCGGCGGCCCGGGGCCGCGCCGAGGACGCGCACGTCCACCGCATGGAGTTCTCCGTGGACCGCCCTTTCATCTTCATCGTGCGGCACGACGCCACGGGCGCCCTGCCGTTGGTGGGACGAATCGTGGATCCCGCTGCCGCGTAGCCTGGAAGCCGAAAAGCACGGGAGCCTGACGGCCCGACAGCCCGATTACCCAGCAGCTCGGTAGCCTGTGACCCTGGTACCCCAGTAAGCCTGACGGCCCGACAGCCTGGCACCTCAGTCGCCTGGTACCCCGTTATCTTGACAGCCCAATTGCCCAGTAGCAAGGTAGCCTGGCACCCCAGTCGACTGGTAGCTCAGTAGTGTGACCACCTGGTAGCCCAATAGCCTCATAGCCACTCAGCCGAGTCAGCCGGTCGCTTAGAAGCCCGCTAGCCCTTTAAACCTGGAGCCCAGTTGCTGGGTCACCCGGATTTTAACCGCTTCTGCTGCACAAATCGCCTTTCGCTTGCCTACAGCTTCCCTTTGCTGCAAGCTCGCCCCGGAGAAATCCCGTACGTGTGACCTCGAGATAGTCACGTGGTGGTCCACTCACTGAACAAAGCTGTGTGGGGCGAGTGTGAGCGAGAACGCATCGTGGGCGGGGAACCTAATGACCCACGAGCCGAACACATTCCTCGACTTCATTGCCTATGACCCAGCGGCCACATGAGGAATCTCAGTCGAAAACAGCCCACGAACATTTATCCATCCATCACTGGGCTCATAAAGTAGAGCGCTAATCACTGCACCACCGCTCCCACGCACCCCCCCCCCCCCCCCCCCACACACAGAGGTGATGAGCTTAAATAACCGCAGCTGCTGAGAGGAAGCACGCGCATTGATCTTCTTCATTCAAAAACACGAGTGTTGTAATTTATTTAGAGGAAGGCGCTGACATTGCTACCACTGCTGTTTTATAAAAGTACTGATCTGCAGAAAATGTCGCACCACGCGGTGCCTTTGCCAGAATAAAGCTTGTCCACCACCCCCCCCCCCCAACGATTTGCTTACCGACGATTCTCCGAAACGCGTCTGCCCACAATGAAGTGCAAACATGTTGCTGGACGCGGGGCCGTCACAACGTGCTGCCCACCCTCCCCAACTCGTCTAGCCCCACGCGATGTTTGCCGCCCCCCCTATCCATGTGTGCCGGGGCTTGTGCCAACTTTCCTGCGGCACATGGCAACGTTTCTCCAGTCGGTGGCTGGAGTTTGGCAAACGTCGGAGCGAAGTACACGTTGCAATTTTTGCTTTACTGTACGAGGCAAAACTGCCACCAGCGTTACTGGTCACGCGGTGGAACCCAATCAAGCGTACGCTTTTACCTTACACCTCCATGGGATTCTCCGAGCAATTGGGAAGCGTGTTGAATACTCTTTTAGGTTTTTTCGGTAAAGTCACGTAGGTAAAAAATAAATAATAAATAAATTAAAATTACTAAAAGTATAATATTATCAAAAAAATATTTTTTTATTTTTTACCTACGTGACTTTACCGAAAAAACATAAGAGTATGAATCCTTGCAGCCACGAAAGCTTCAAATCTAGAATTAAGCGTGTTGAAGGCCACCGAATGAAAACCCGAGCTCAATAACAATTACGCATTCGCCCCCCAAGAAGGATATTAAATCTCACCGAATATCGAGTCTGGGTCACGAGCAGGCTGCAGCGTGCACGCGACAGCAGCCACACCAAAATTCGAGACGCACACTAAACTGGGTGTGTCGCCGGGTGAATAAAAATCCCCGCGTCGCCAACTCGGCTGCACGCGTATCTCAGAGAGAGCTGGAACCATTCAGTTCATCCTGAGACCTCACCCTTTGGACCAAGAGGGCCCCCCCCCTCATCTGTCCTCGTCTGTTTACCTAGGAACAGGTATTTTCACTTTCGCGTCCCCTATTATTGTGCTCCCACGTGGTTTGCAACTCGTGCATCCTCGAACTACACCGTCGACGTCACGACATCAAGTTTAAGAAGTCGCCGCTCGGAACTCGGAGCAATTGAACGGCGAACCTTTTCAGACGGGCTCCTGGAACGCGACCAAACAACCACTTCCGATGTCACTTCACTGAAACTCCACGGAGGTGGTAATGGTGCCCTGTCAAGCCCTGTAAAGTAGTGTTCGTTGCACATAAACAAAGGTTTACGGATCCGAACCAGTTCAAGTGAAAGCTAAAATCGATCGCCTTTTTCTTGTTTCGTTTGTCAAGTCATCGGGAGCAACATTTGAGAACCAAACCCTTCAGGCAGTGGCTTGCAGCCCAAGAGTCGCAATCCAGCAACTCGGGACTCGGGACACCATCACCACTGAATATTAAAGCAGCAACCACCCCCCGACCCCCTCCCATGCTGCACACACACTCGAGCCTGCAAGTGCGAATTTAGTCTTCCCGTTTGGGGGGCGATGCTGCAATGTGGCTGTTCCCAATTGCGTACAATACAATTTGCGAGCAATATATCAACAGTTGCAATGATCCATTATATTATCAGGCGTCGGCAACATGCGGCTACGAGGCTGCCCCCTAGTGGGCAGCCGTTTAAAAAAACGTAAATCTTAAAACAAGATTTTACGTAAAGATAATTTGTTAAATATGGCAGGAAATGGGTCACTATGGAATGTCTTGGTGACGATAAAATGTACAACAAACTATTGTTAAATAATAAGTGGGGGGGGGGGGGGGACGACGACACACCTAAATAGACAAAGTTTATTCCATCACCTATGTTAAGTCAGAATGTGTGCCATCTGCTGTAAACCTCCTGCCGTGTTTGTGTACAAGTGGCTCTTGCTTGTGATGGCGGCTCTCGAACTATTTTGGTCAAAGACCAAAAACCCCGGTGGCTCTTCGTCATCGAAAGGTTGCAGACCCCCTGGCCACGACGCACCCACGTGAGTCACTCGGCCACCATCCCTCGCAAGTCCTCAGTCACGAGTTAAAACCCAGTTTCCCAAACACGCCCTCTTCCGCATTACATCCATCTACGCCTGACTATTACTGGTAGGAACCTCCTGGTTACACCAGCCCACAGGGGATTATTGTCCGTCCGTCGTGCAGGGAGGGGCTGGGTGGGGGGTGGGGAGGGGCTGGTCACCCCGTGGTGCCCTTATAAAACTCAACGTTTAACCTACTCACGCCGGCTTGTGCCCGCCCTCACAGTCGGGCATATTTGCGAAATACACAACGCCGCCGTTGACCCTGGCCATTGACCGAGCAACCCAACGTTCCTACCAGCTCCCTCCGCAGGAATATGTTAATAAGCCGGACAAATTTACGAACAATAAAACAATCTTGGCTGTGGCCAGTGGGCATGAAGACTGGGAAGTGTTCGTTCTGGGAACCGTTCCAGAGGTGGGGGACACGAGAAATAATTTCCACGCAGTAGTCTCAGAACAACGTATACATAAACATCCCCGTGTCCTTTATTGTCTCTCATTTTGTCATTTCAACTACATGGTAAATGTTTATAAGTTAGGCGTGTTAATCTGCAAACCAACATTAATACAAACAAAAAAAGTGTCCGACAATGCATGTAATCACAACGGAACAAAATAGCAGTACCAACAGGAAAATGTACAAAATATTAATTCCAGAAGGGCGATTGTTTCACCGCACGACCAGCGAAGGAAGGTTATTGTTTACCAGCTGACCGAGACGGACACGCGGGATTTGCGCTGGCACAGAAGCCACGTGTTCTTCAAACCAATTTACATCGGCGTCACGCCATGAGATGAACACATTTTTCCATTAGTAAATGTTACATCGATCGCAAGCGAGAAATATTAGCAGCCTCAAGTAAAAACCCTGAAAGATGACGTCAATTACCCCCCCCCCCTCGTTCGTTTTCCACTGGCACATCCGAGCTGTGCCAACGCGGGGTACCGCATGCAGTACGGGGATGGCTTTACGCTGAATATTTGCCGAGCTCAGCTGGTACCAAACTGTGAAATTCCGGCCTTACAAGACATCTTAATCTGGCTCTGGGCCCAGCGGTGGGGATGGGGGGGGGGCAAGGCTAACAACATGTCCGAGACATCGGCCAGGTTACACCAAGGACACGTTACCGCGTCTTTCGCATGCGGCACGACTCATTCATCGTGACGTCAACGGCGCGGCTCGGCTTTTTACAGTGGAAAAACAACCTGCCTTGTCCTGATACACGCGGCGCTACCTTGGCTCGGTTCAGATGCGCAGCGGGGGGGGAAGAGGAAACGCGTCAACTTTTTAAGTCACCCGAGTTGTCTTATCCGGCACTAAGTGGAGCATTCTCGTACGTCCTGCAAAGCGGTCACCCCGCATGGCATCGAATGGGAACTTTTTTTTATTACAAAAAAAAAACCATCGAGGCTTTTTTTGTGCAATTATTGGTTGACCAGGCTGAAGACAAAACAGTGCCGGGCTCAATTGCTACGACACCTCGAGCCACGCGGCCACCCCTCCACACAAAAGTGGCATTCTCGCACTCCCGATAACCATTGGAAAACAAAGCGAAACAACAAAGACGCAACTGAAACATGCTCTCAGGAAATCACTGAGCAAACCCTCCAGTCAGAGCAACACAAGGCCTCTCAACAAATCGCGTACCGCGTTTGCTGGGTAATTTTTACCATTTTACCACGTGCCCGCCCCCCCCCCCCCCCCCGTTAAACATTTTCGTACAATCTTGCGAAAAAACATTATAAAAAATGAACAACCTCCTCCACTGTGCTGCCTTTAAGGCTCAACATATCCCGCTTAAAGTAATCGTCGGTTCATTCCTCTGCGGAACAAGTCCTCCATCGGTCGGAAGGTTACAGGAAGAAAGTCGTTAATGCGGGCGACCAATGGAGAGAAACACAAGAGCCACCTCTAACCGCACGCACGACATTGTGCTGTTAAAAGTCACATTCATGTCCATTAAACAATGCGATGGCACATCTGTGCGTAGCGTTCGTCGGACGGTGCAGGTGAAATCTAAGAGAGTTTCGTGCTTAACTTTTTCAAAAAGTCACGCGAGCGAGCGATTTCCGTGATCTCACATTCAGCAGGGACGTTTACTGCCAAGCGGGCCGTGCGCACACAGCCCCTGACACGGTGCAGATGTTGGTCATCTTTCTCCTCCGCCGCAACAGACACGTTAATCATTAGTATTACGATATAATTTGTTCTCGTTATTAGTATTATTGCTATATAATTTTTCTTTACAATTATCTTCTAACTTTTTATTTTAGTTGTATTATTACGATTTGAAGCACAAACTCATTATCACGAAATTGTCGCAACTGATAATTTCCCTGCGTCGTTGTAACCACGAGCGCAGAAACACCACCAACAACCACCACCAACCACCACAAATGCGCTTCACTTCGAGGACAATCAACCGCGGCGACGGCGTCAATCTCGGTCTTTTACGTCGCATCTCGTCAGATGTACATCTCCACTCAAATCCATCCATGGGGTCCCACACGTGGAGCGGCTCCGTCAATAAAGCGCCGTCGACAGCCCTCCCTCCCCACGCGCCGACGCCTACGAGCGTCACCCAAGTGCCGACGGAGCACGGCCTCCATCGCCATCACCTTCCCTGACTCGCAAGCTCGCCCCCCCGCCTCCGCAGAGCAGAGGCGACGAGCCGTTCGTCTTGCATTAACCCTGCGGTCGGGCTATAGGGCGCGCATCTCAAAGACACGTTCTTTAGAAGCCATGCATTAGGGTGCCACTCAATATGCATACGGAAAAGTTAAGTCTACATTTTCTGCGATCACAACCTCTCCATTTGTTACCTTTGGTGTTAAAAGTCTACTGCTGAATGCCATTCTAACCTGTTAATATTTAAAGGTTCCTCCGGATTATCTTTGATCTGCATAGTTTCCTCTTACTACGCACCTCCGATTAGCACGGCTGGCTACGTACGATGCGAATGCTCGATTCAAATCCGTCGAGCAACCAGTAAATAAAAAGGGATTGTCTTCAGACTCGCAGCGCTTCGGTTTAACAGGCAAGCGAATGAAACCAGGAAGCATGACCACGGAAATAACAAGCATTAATTTTGAGTGGCACCCTATCATGCATTTTGGAACAGAGGTGGGGCCTTGTGCACATGCCTGACCTTTCAATCTTGGGCTAACGGCGCATGGCACTCAAATTGTAAAAGGCGTGCCGGGGGAAAATTGGCTCTGGGATAATATGCAAATGCACAGAGTGACGCCGCAGCTGTACACACACACACAAGTGATGACAAGTCCCAGGGCAGACGAGTGGTCACAATCTGTCGCCAGGCATCGAAGTTCCAGCTTGACAACTAATAACTATGCACAGTACACTATACGCGATTCCAACATTTATCGTTAAGGCTGGGAGATAGTTCAAACTGAGCACTGAGGTTAACACAAACACCAAACACGGATAAGGACGCATAACCGTGACCGGCTTTGTTGTCCACCACAACAACAAGAAAAAACATACGTGGCCCTCAATCGGCCAGCGAGTTGCGCTTCATGCACACAAAGCGGCAAATTAAAGCGAAACCAAAAATATGATTAATGTACAACACCAAAAAGAATTACACGAGACCGCCTGAACATTCTGCGTTTGCTGCGAAGGGCAGGCGGACGAGTTAAAAAAAAAAACGAGACTCGTCTTGTGAGCGGGAATAATTCTGTACGCCCCTGCCGCTTCTCTCGCATGAGGTTACGCCCCTTGCAGCCAAAGGACTTTCCGCTTTATAGTACACAGTGCGCCATCTGCAAAGATGAACAATATATTTCCCAGTCAGGGATACTCATATACGTCATAAGGTATTGTATTTCTTAACCTCTTCCTCAAATCTTTTAAACTATTCATTTCTCAACAAAGAAAACATTGCTAGTAACTCAGAGGTACGAGACGTACTTCTGACATAAGACCTCATCGCAACGAGACCCAGGTTTACTTTTGCTCCTGCGGCCGTGCGCGGGGATTGCGAGGCATCGGAAGATGTAAACACAGCAGATATGATTACACCACATCGCGCCACCATCTTGCAGTGCGATGGCGTGGCGTGACACAGCTCGACAGATCCGCACCACCTCGTTCCCAGCGCCATCGCGCTTGCGTAGAAGCCTTCTCTGTAACACGCGCAAGCGCACGCCCCCTCCTGTCCACCACGGGCCATTTCACACAGTGCTTGCCGCCGCCCTGAAACACAAAAGGGCCCCCCCCCCCCCTTCGCCATCTCCCTCCAAAACTCAAGCGCTCATGCCGTCAAACGCGGCTCCAAATCTCCTCTGCTGATGTGCTGATGTGATCATGCAATGCACGCACGCACCCCCCCACCCCACCCCGAAAGCTTCAGTGCAAAGCAGCAGCAGCCACCGCTGTCTGCGCCATCGCAGCCTTAGAGCACAAACAAAAAGCAAAGTCACCGGGGCTTCCGGATTTCGCTTGCACACAAACGCAGTTGTCGAACGTGGGGTTCACAGCGGGGAGGTACGATTTCAACAGCGAAGCGCATGTACAAGGCTGTAAGGTAAGGACGGTCTTAATGACTGATCGATTAATAAGTGCCAGGTCCTCGAGAGGTTACGACAAAAGGCGAGCGATGACTCGGAAGAGAGTAAAGATGACAGAGAGTCGGCACGGGAGGAACGTGAGATCAAACCCCGGGGGGGAGGAGTGGCCACGGACGTGGGCAAAGCTTCACTCCCCCCTGTGGTCTCGACCATCGACTCTCGGTCAATTGGCCGCTGCCACTGGCCCGAGTTCGAAGTGAACGTGGCAGGAGGGCGGGTGGGGAGCCGGAGGGCGGGAGGGGGGCGGGAGGGGGGGGGCCGGTGGGGGGCGGGGCCCGAACGCACGCTAGTCGAGCAGCAAGGCCTCGGTGACGCCCTGTGCGGCCAGCTCGGCCTGCACATTCTGCAGGTAGTTGGGGTCGGGGAATCCGTGGCCCGTCACGTTGGAGCCGAACTCCGTCTTGTGGTGGATCTCGTTCCACACGACGGTGTCCGCCTCGCCCGTGGTGCTCGACGTGCCCACCGTGAAGATGAGCCGCCGCTCCCACGCCACGATCAGCAGCTTCAGCACCTGGATGGGGGGGCGGCGGCGTTAGCAGGAGCAGTAGTAGCAGCCGCACCGGATCGCCAATATTTTAACCATGCAAACGGTAACGAAATTGAATGGAATGAAATATACTACTCAACAGAGATGGGACAAAGTCATTGTTATGCAAGTCCAAGTCGAGTCTGAAGTCATCAAATTCATGACTCGAGTCTGACTCGAGTCCAAGTCACATGACTCGAGTCCACACCTCTGCTACTCAATATTTGTAACAATCGAAAACGTTTTTACTTTCACTCTTATACTTCCCATCGAATCGATAACTTCCTCGAGAACTCTCACGACCCAGCCTCTCCTCTCTCTTCGGCGGATGCTATCGTGGTGCCAGGGCCTTCGAAACGACGCTGCTAATTTCCTTAATTGCCCCCGGCTTCGCGCTGTCGACCCAGCGGTACGAACGGCCGCACCGCAGTCCATTGGCAGATTTGTGGGCGATCGCAGGAGCAGCAACCCCCCCCCCCCTTCACCTTGCGTCCCTCCTCGCTGTCCGGCAGGTAGCAGTGGCGGGGGAAGCCGCGGGCCGTGAATTTCTTGCCCGGGTTTGGATGCTCTGGCCCCTGTTGGCGCAGCATACGTAAGGGGGTACAGGGTAGGGGAGGGGGGGGGGTGCAACGTAGAGCAATGTCACAAAACACGAAACGTCAAGGGGGGTGCGGGGAGGTCAATACCACCCTCTGCGTAAAGTTTTTAGTACAAAGTTGCATTGCTTTTGGGGGGGGAGGGGGGGACTTGCACTCTTGAAAACCGGCCAATTTAATCACACCCAAGCAAACGCATTTTTGCACCGACAGCTACCCGGCAGCTGCTGCACTGCTGAGTAGATGTATTGTCCAATGCGTACGCAATATCTTGCCTAACTTGTTTGAAAAAATATATTCATGGAAGTATAATTCAACTGCCACATTGCGTTGGAAAAATACGTTGGCCCAAAAACTAACGGTGATCAGAGGTTTCAAGCTCGTATGACGTTGTTCGTAACCAACAAATATTGTATTTTACAAATTTCATGACGGTCTACCGACAGATTAATGTAACTTGACTAGAGTGCATCTTGTAACGCTGCTACAGTGCATTTTCCATCAAAGGAGGGGGGGGGGGCACAGGCCAGAAGGGGGACTTGTGAGCACCTGGGTGCCGGATGGGATGTCGTAAATGATGCGGATGGCGTGGCAGTCGGGCTGGCCGGGCAGTGAGAACGGAATAACGTGGAACTCCATCTTGCCGGGCGGCTGAGTTCCCGTCTTCTCCCCGTAGATCGTCTTGCACGTCGGGCACTGCAGACTCCCATCCTGGAGAGGAATTAACAAAGATAAAATATCTCCCATGTAGGCCTACGCAGACTATTTGGCCCAAGTGCTGTTGAGTAAGCACCTACCGAGGCCGGCGCAATGCCCGACCGCTTTGTCTCCCCGGCGTAGATTGTTTAAACGTCCCACCAGGCGCTCGCTTAAAGCCGAGGCCGACACAGAGGACACCTTGAAACGATTCAGGCATCACTTGCCACTGCTGTTGGGACGTGGCCCGGAGTCGAACTCGGGTCACCACTGTTTCCATACTTTCACGGGCTCCCACGGCCTTGCCCCCCCGTCAATCGCGAGCGTCCTTTCAAATAAAATCTGCCGTCGTCCTTCCCGTCTTTCACCCGGGCAGACTGAGTTTGTTTCCCGGACATTACCAACAACATCACATGACAAACATCACATCACCACATGACACCGCCCCCCGCTCATTACAAAATCATGGCCATCCTGCCGCCCCCCTCCGTCGGGACAGCAGACGAGGATGTGTCGCCCGCACCTTGTTGCCGTTGCTGTACATGGCGACGAGGCAGAGGAGGTGGAACGCGTGGCCACAGCGGCCCAGCTGGCCCAGCCCGTCGGCCCGCACGCCCGTACAGCCCGTCATGCCCTCGTAGCCCGAGGGCACGGCGAGGCGCTCCATGCAGATGGTGCAGTCCTGGCGCGCAAGGGGGCGGGAGCAAGGCGAGAGTTTACACGGCAAAGCTTCAAACTTGCTTACTTGATCTTTTGAGGCCGAGACAACGGAAGGGAAGCCCATGATCGGGTCAAGCTTTCAATTAGTAAAGAATTAATCTGAATAAGAGTAATAATCATCATCATCAGATGCAGTTTCTTCACGGTGTCCACGTGTTAACAGAAAGTTGTGGGTTCGATCTCGACCTTGACAAATGCATATTTGGAGTTTGCGTGCCCTCCCCGTGGCCGTGTGGATTTTTCTCCCCCCCCAACATTTAGAATCAACATCACACGTTTAGAGTATTTGGCTGCAATAAATTTCCACACGACAAGTCACTTCGTTGAGCTATCATGTGGCCCAGGTCGCTTCTGAAAAAGAGCTATATAGCTCAGTGGGCCTTAACGGGTAAAATAAAAATCGTTCGAGTTTAGTTTGTTTAGGACGAAGGCCTTGCAAAGTAGCTGCCGCCTCTCAATCCTGCAGCGGTAATAACCCATGTAAGAACTTTCACGTTAACTGAATGCAGTCACTCCATCTCGCTGGTGGACGTCCCCTCGGGAATGTTCCGTTCCAAATACCAGTAGTATTATACTCGTTGGTTCGTTCGGTAAAGTCACGTATGTAGAAATAAAATACAATTTAAATCAATTACAAATTAAATTTAAACAAATCACGACGTTGCGAACGCAACACAAGCGCTCGTCATCAGGTGAAAATGGGGCAAAACACAGAGCGAGGGAACACACAGAGGGACATCACACACAGAGCACACAGAACGGCAAACTGCACGGAGGCAAATACAGCAAGAAGATGGGAGACGAGAACTCAACAAACCTTAGAAACATCACGTGATGCAAACCAGTCGGCCAACACAGTTAGACACTAACCTGGTTGACCACTAATTTGAAAAGACTGCTAAATTTTGTGTTCATCTGCTGGACAGAACATACCAATGTAAACAGAGGACAAATACTCACGAACAGACACGAGGTACAAGGTAGCAGAGATACATACACGGAGAAGACACAGAGGGAAAGATGTTTAGGGCAGCACAGAGGGACAACAGAGCAACACCACGCCAAGAGACACACACACATGGAGAGGCACACAGAAAGACGCCCGGAGAAATAACATACAGGGCTGTAGAGGTGGGGGAAGGGAAGGGGTGGAGAAGGTCCAATGCAGGCAACAAATCGTGGGAAACAATGGGGAAACAGAGACACCAACCATGGTAAACGAAAGCGAAGAAAAATTGCAACAAGCAGAGATACATACACAGAGAAGACAACACAGGGAAAGATGTTTTGGACAGAATTGTAAGGACAACCTCCCAGCAGAGGTGAATTAATCTAGAATTAGTAGTAACCAGTAGTATTCCTATTTGCAAAGAGTTATTTACAGACGGGGAAAAGATGGTGTTCGTCCACAGTCAGCTCACCTCATCCGGTGGGTTTTTCATCATTTGCAGGTATTTCTTCACCACATCTTCAGGTGATTTCTTTCCTATTATCAAACAAACAGCTCTATCAGTTAAATATTGCCATTTCTATTATCCATACACAACCGCCAAAATGGACGTGGACGGTTGTTTCTTTAAAAGGACAGGCACATGCCCATTTTGGAAACCCCACCTCCCGCCCCCCATCCGGAACTGAACCCATGATAAGCAAAATAAAAAGAAGAGAAAGAAGAGAGATCATCGAAGAGATCACTAAAAATGTACAATCATCTTGAGCATATAAAGCGCATGCTGCTCGGAGCGAAGCTTCATAACAACACTTTTACGCAATGCTTGGGCGAGAATTAACGCTGTTTAAACAACTCTCTCCCGACGGATGTAAGGGGAATGGGCAAAATCACACGCGTCCGCGAGGTTTCCAAAATGTTAATGTTTACCAATCCTCAAGTAAAAAAACAAACCACAACACAGCTCATTTCACCTCCCCACAAATTAAACATGTTTATTCCGAAATCCTTTTGCCTTCACAAAAAACAATAATAATGCACGAGGCAACTGTTTAAACAAACTCTCTCAATCCGTTTTGAATTTCGGGGGTCTCATCTTGCTGGGTGAGCCTTTCACATGATTGCTGCTGCTGGCTTTGCCAGATGAGCCTCGCTCGGTCAACTCCAAGGACACAGCCGATGGCGTGGCATGGGGGGGGGGGGGAACGGCCGAGCAAGCGTCGTCGTCACCTTTCTTGCCCTTGGACTTCTTGATCTTGCGGCAGGTGCCAGAGACGCCGGGCACGGGTCGCAGCTCGTCTTTGCTCACGGCTGGAGGATGGAAGAGATGCTTAGGGAGGGCGCGAGTCATGGGGAGCAGCCCCCCGCCGGCTGGGACCGACCGCCACGGGCCAACGATGGCACACGGAAGGGGGAGTTGGGGGTGGTGGTAGAGTAGTATGGGTCAGAGAGAGCAACAACAACAGGGTAGAGAAGGAGAAGATCGAGGGCATGAAGTGGCAGGCAGAGAAGGGCAGGGCAAGACAAGGAGAGGGTAAGAGGCAGGATTAGAACATAGCAAGCAAGGAACGCGAGTTAGAACGTGACGGAGGATGGCTAAGTAGTGTGGGAATGTTTCTGTGTTGTGAGCAGGAAGGGAAAAAGGTGCTGCGCGCTGCAAGTGCTTGCTGACATCACTGCTGATGGAAGGGCCTCCACAAGAACGAGCTACATAGTTGCTCTAGAGGATATTTGTCATCTCTTTGACGCTGGCAGACATTCTGGAAGCGGGAGTACCCACACTTTACCCCATCACACGCGATCTGTCGTTCAAACTAGCTGTGGCGACGGAGGCTGAGGGAGAACGAAACTGAAGAAACTCGCCCAAGGTTTAAATTGCCACGCTGGGAGATCTGATTGACCCGGCGACCGCTGAATTGCAAGTCTGGTGTGCTGCTCACCGTAATGCTACGGCAGCAGCATCCTATTAATCTATAAAGCGTCTAAATCCTATTGCGTCTAAAGCTGGTGGTGATCGACGCGTTGATGGCTTTCATCGCGATTTCACACTTAACAGAGTGGCCCGCGTGAAGGCTGCCATCTTCCGCTCCAAGATGGTGGTGGTGTAGCATGGCTAGAATGGGCCCTGGGTGCACGGGTTAAAATGAGACCCCCCGTACTACCCCCTTTCCGACTTGATTTCCCTGCATTTCGTAGCCTGGTGCCTGGCCAATCCTCCACTCCCCCGCCCCCCCTTACGCCATCCGCCCTCGTCGCACGCTCCACTCCCCCAGTGTGCTACCCTGTCACACCGAGGCAGCATCCCTCCGTGTTGTTCGTAAGCAATCTAAACTCGACGGGGCGACGGTATTGAGTTATGGAGGTCAGACTAATTTTACGATTCAGCAGCAGCGGTTGCAACAGCAGAGAGGAAAGATTCTCTTTCAAGAAGTGACCATTGCGTGACTCGGCTTAGCGCGCGTGCCAAGTTTCCAATAGACATAAAACCGAAGGCAGCAGACGGCAACGGGATCACAAGATCGACGCGTAATACATCTTCTGATCTGTTCAAAGGCATTCCAAATCCATTACGCGTTGAAAATAAGTTATGTCCCCATTATAAATGTGTCTTTTTCTATCACATCACTAGGCCTACCTGCAAATGCAGACTGCAGAGATATTGGAAGGTTCATTGCATTTCCTGGAAGTGAAGGCATCCTTAAAGAAAGAAAGAAAGAAAAGGTCAACTGTAAGACGTAAAATCATGACAAGTACACATGCAGAGCCCCTGTTTCTATCCACGACGGGATGAGGGCTTTTCCGCACCTCTTCCCAGCGTCACGGTCACTGAGCACAGGCACAAAAACGCCAAGCGGACAGCAACAGCCTACACCCTTGATTGAAGGTGTAAGAGATGAGAGTCAACACGTTTCTCAAAATTACAAGATAAGGGATTTATTTGAGCATACTTTGCCCCGCTGGTCAGTGCGGGGTCTTCAGTGACTGGGACATCAGCCGTGGAAGCATAGGCGTCAAGCATGAAAACGGATTGAGCCGCACTGCCCCTCTGGCCCACCGCATTATCCCCGCAAGCCACTGCGAAGACAGCAGTTTCGCGCAGGGTGACCCCTCCCCCCGTGCAAAGCGCAACGCGGGCAGAACCCTGCTGCGTCCCAGATCTTACGAGATCTCGGGCACGTTCGCTGGCGATCGGTAGTTGGGAGAACCGTTACGGCAGTTCGTACGTTGGGGAAAGCGCAGCACGCGTGTGCAAACTGTGAAGTGAAGGAAGCAACTTCTGCTGCAGTCTTTGGCAGGCGAGGAGCGATAAACAGATGACAGGAAAAATACCGAGCCGACAGAATAATTAGCTTTTCTGGTTGAGATTTGTGGGAAGTGGCTAGACTGATGTTGTCAGCGAGAAAAATTTGCATTCTGCTCAAGACCTGACAGCATGCTGAATATGTATCATCATGTCATGCTTTGAAACGCTTGTTTATGGCACCGTTACAAAGCAAGCGAAGCAGACCCCCGTCTGTATAATATTAATACTAACCACAATTCACTACAGCAGCATACAATTAACCGAGTACAATGTTTGCTGTGCTGAACAGACACCAAGAGGTGTCTGTCGATGGTTCTTGCCCAATAGCAATAAAGCGACCCAGCACCATTTGTCCTAGAGGCTTCATCCTGCCAAGTCTCATAAAAAAACAGTGCCGGGTTTGCTGCTTAACCAAATGCTTGTCCACAAAGGTTGCAGGCGGATGGACTAAAATGTTATTTAGCATTTATACGTTTACATGAGGTGTACAAAAGCAATAATGTAGCTCGCAACGCAACGAACCTGGCGACCCAAGTTCAATTCCTGCTCACGGCCAACATCAGTGAAGATTATCTGAACCGGTCCTGTGCCTCCTCTAGGTCGACTCGGCCTCAAATGAGTACCTGGTGTGGTGTGTAAACATCGCCACTGGGGAGACAAAGGCGGCCGGGCGTGGTGCTCGCTAACAGCACTTGCCCCAACAGTCTGTTAAGGCTACACAGGGGATCTTTGTCTTTTTATATATACACACACACACATACACTTTTAAAAGTTATGATAATACAACAAACAACATAAACTATAGGGGCAAGTGCTGTTAGCGAGCACCTATGAAGGCCGGCACGGCACACGAGGGGGTGGGTGGCCAATACCACGCCCGGCCGCCTTTGTCTCCACAGTGGCGATATTTACACACCGCACCAGGTACTCATTTGAGGCCGAGTCGACCTAGGGGAGAACCCTGAACCGGTTCAGATAATCGTCACTAGTGTTGGCCGTGAAGCGGGAATCGAACCCGGCTCCCCAGGTTCGTAGTGCTCCGCTACACTGACCACGGTGACACCAACATTCCCGTGAAGCGTACAAACCCTCACCCTGGTGGTGGCAGCGCAGCAGCAAGCCTCATTGGGCCACCCCTGGCCGTTGGCCCCATCCTGCTGATGGGTACGACCGGACCCAGGCCCTGCGGCATCGGCACCCCGACACCGGCGACGGACGACGTCGGCGACAGCGGCGGGGGCCCCGGGCGCGCGGCCGCCGCCGGCACCGGCATGCCGGACTGGCTCGCCTTGCGCTTCTGCGTCGGAGGGCGGCCCTGGCACTGCTGGCAGCCGCACGACAGCGGCCACGCCTGGGTCGACTGCGCGTGCGGCACGGGGCTGCCCGGCGACGACGACGCCGCCGCCGCCGCCTGCGTCGGCACCGGCGAGGTAGCGGCCGTCACCAGCGGTCCGCTGCTGTGCGACGAACCATTTCCCTGACCCGCACCCGGTCCGGGCTGCAGCGTCTGCGCCACGAACTGCATGTGTCCCAACGCAGCACCGCCCGCCTGCTGGTGCTGCTGATGCTGCTGGTGATGTTGCTGCTGCTGGTGCTGGTGGTGCTGCGGCTGGTGGTGGTAGTGGGGTTGCGGATGCATTGGAAGAGGCGGCGGCGGGCTTGAAGCGGGCGGGTACGGCGCCTCGTACGTGACGAGAATGCGGCGGCGGAAGTTCGTGCGCGGGTTGATCTGGCACATGTTGGAGAAGTCGACGTAGTAGGGGAGGCCCGAGAGCGCAGTCAGGTCGAGGCCCGGCCGCCGGCGCTCGTAGGCGTCCTGCAGCGCGGCGCACAGGTCCGCCTCGTAGCACGTCCACGCGCCACCGTCCTGCTCCCACTTCCACACGATGCCGCGGCCTGGCGCCGAGTCCACCGGGAAGTAGCGCTTGCGGATCGGGCGCATGGTGCCTGAGCGGTGCGGCAACGGCGGGGAGATGATCGGCGAAGGCAAGCGCAGAGGTCACGGTGACGGTAGGTTGGGGATGGCGGTCGTTTGTTGTGGTCGTGGTGATTTGTTGTGGTCGTGGTGGTGGTGGTGATAGTGGTGATGGAGGCGAGGATAGAATGGGAGTGGTGGTGGTGGAGGTGGGAAACAGAGGAGATTAAATACACATGGTGGTAACAATTACATTTCATAGAAATATATTCAACAAAGACTGCATGCCATCAAATAAAATATGGCTCTCCACCTAATTTGGCTAAATTCCACAAATGGGAATGGTTTTACTACCAAATGACGATATTTAGCCCCAGTGTCAGGGCGGGTGGAAAATTGCTGCCCCGTGTCGATCGGAGGTTACGTTACTAGATCTCAGAAGAAGTTCCCCATCATCCACTTCTGTGGGCCGTTCTCCACACTAAGGGCTGCACTGCTCTGCGGAAGATCTGAACGGATTCTTCCATCTCACGACATGATGCCGATAAAGGAAATCGTGATTGGAGTACAATATAGAAAAATAAACGTAACAAATATGTCAATAGGGCAAGTAACGTTGAACTGGAAAGGATTATGCATCGGGTAAATATGGGTATTTGTTTAATCGGCTTTAACGAGTGCCCCTTGTGTTTTGTTTGGATGTTAACACATGGATTTTTCTGCCGAGCTAATTGCCACCGTGGTTAGAGGACAAAGCATTACTGTCGGAAGGTCGCGAGTTCAAATCTAAGTCAGGGGTCGACTTGGAATACCTTCTTACAGTCGGGTCAAACGTCACAACAAAATCTCCCCGACGTGTCCAATCCTGACCGTGGGAGCCAAGTGGGGTTGAGTCTGGTTAGCAGAGTACACAGTTACTTGGAGGACTGACTGCATGGGGAAAAACAGAGGTTGATGAAGAAAGCTTGGACTGCGACTCTGTGGCCTGGCGATGGCATTGCAGCCATTCATTCATGAACAGCTCTCTCTGTGTTTAAATAAAGGAATGATTTTTGACAAAGCTGGCATTTTTATTCTCCTCCTACCTCTTCCTCGTTTCAAAAGTAAAAACAAATGCCGCGTATTACACGCAACTATGAATCTACAACAGAGCCAAAAGGTATGCAAGGGCTATGGTATTGATGCAGTTGAACAATCGAGCGTGCAGACATTCACGTTTTGATTTTGTAATAAGAAAAGTATAAATTATAACAACAAAAACAAGTTGGAAAAAAGAAACAGGCCCCGCGTGGGTCTCGCGCTTGCTAATAAATTATGCACCAAGACGGGCGGAGTGTTTAATCTTTCATTCGGGAAACAAAAGCCTTTCATGCTTGTGAAGAACACGCGCTCGCACGTTTAAAATTAAACGTGTTAGAAAAACACCAAACCAAAAATACAATTATTTTGTAAGTGGCAAGCTCAGTGCGCCTAACAGCTAGCACACAGTGGAACATTGTTCGTTAAACACACACATAAACGTCAACATTTGAAGCTTTATTGCATCTAGAAGAATGGGCGCATACAACAGCGATGAGAAATTCGAACGTGACGTTGATTCACGAGGCCTTAAAAGCTGAAAATAAACAACAATATACTCTTATATTAAACACACCTATATACCCTTATAGACTACGGGTAAAAGCGATGCTTGCGAGCGCCTCGTAAGGAACCGCAGTGCACATAAAAAGCCGTTGTGGCCGGCACCCCGCAGCCGACCATTTGTATCTCTACACCACACCAGCTGCTCATTTGAGGCCGAGTCAACCTACGAGAGGCCCATTTGTCACTGACTTTGCGCATGGCCAGGAACTGAATGCAGTTCACCCGGATTACAGAAGTGTATTAACTGCTGCGTCACTGCTGCCCACTACAAAGACAAAGAACCCAGTCTAGCCTATAAAGGCTGTTAGGACAAGTGCTGTCAACGAGCAACGATTAAGGCCTACGCAGCACCGACGCGTTGGTCTTTTGTGTCATTATGCGCGTCGATAGCACTTGGTAATCCAGACACCGCATTTCACGGCCAACGCATCTGGGAGGGCATGGCAGTGCAAGTGATATAAAATATTACGGGATGTCCAAAAAGCTATCATCCTTGAAAAAAAAAGTTGCAACCCTGCAATGAACTTGCTCATGCCACTGCTTGGCAGAACGATCTCAAGTGGAGGGAGATTCTCAAGGCTGACCACTTTTGTCTCCCCAGTCGCTAATGTTTTGCTCACTGCACCAGCTGCCCATGTTAAGGCTCAATCAACCCTAGGGGAGACATAGGGCTGATTCAGATAATCACGACTGTTTCGATTTAAAGCTTTCGTGACTGCAGGGATTCATCTTCTTGGTTCTTTCGGCAAAGTCACGTAGAAGGAAAATAATAAAAATAAAACAATAAAATACAATTCTCACGACGTTTCGGCCACAACGCAAGCAGCCGTCCTCAGGTGAAGAACAGGGCTGTCACCTGAGGACGGCTGCTTGAGTTGTGGCCGAAACGTCGTGAGAATTGTATTTTATTATGTTTCATTTTTATTATTTTATTATTCCATTCTACGTGAATTTACCGAAAGAACGAATGTTGGCTGCGACCGCCGGGGGTTGGTATGCACAGCGCGCTCACCATTCACTCCACGAGAGCTCCCTGACACCGTCACCCCACACACACACACACTCGGGTTGACACCGACTTAAAAAAGCACGTATGTATTCACAGCAGTGCCATCAAGTGTTTGGGCAACTGGGTACCACTCGCACAGTCGACGGTAAACACGCACGGCAACTGCCCTGCGTGGTTATAGCGGGGAGTGTGGTAACTGCGCGCAGCAACAGCCTGTGGTGGTTATTAGACCACTGTCGATCGTTTGTGTTTAATGCTGCACGGTGCCTGCCTCCGCTCTGGTGTTCACGCTTGCAGCCTTTCTAGAGTCGAACCAAATTACACCGCTCTCGGGGTAAGCGTTTAGCAGCGGCTACTCTAGCACCGCGAAACCCGAAATCCAACGGTTCGCTTAACAACAAAGCACTTTTACGAATCTCAATGGCCGAGGCATGAACTGGCAGACTGGCCTTTTTGAATGTCGATTACGAACGCAATGCATTGCGCGTAAATGTTAACATCAAAGCAGCGTTTTTTTAAATCGCACGGAAAGATTCGGGGCGGTGGCAAAACGAATATAATTTTTCTGCTCTCTGGGACGGAGCGGCTGATCAAAGCCCCCAAAGCTACAGTTGATTTGGATTAAAGGCTTAATACCTACACTGCTCTGTATGCCCATCGCAAGGATGCATTTCTCCAACAGAGAGCTCCTGATATGTCCAAATATCACCTACCACGACGGCTGTAGGAAAACCAGTACACCTATTTCATACTTTCCTCGTGAGCAATACTGCCGAATAGTTAACGAAATATATTCCGTGTATGTGTAAAAAATTTCCATAGAGGTCACTCCATGGTATCCTCTTCCGTGGGCCGTTCTATGACATGGCCTGATTGGAGCCTTTGACTCACGACGTGCTCGATTAGCACCAGTAGGATAACACATTCATCCAGGTCGTACTGCAATGCTGCATCTTCCGCATCCTTTCCTTGCAGAACCCTACCCATGTGACTCGTTCACCTTTACGGAAACCAGAGGTGGCAACTCTCCCACAAATCGATGTTTGTACGTTGCACTTAGAGAACACAGGAACATGCACACTCACAGCCCTTCTGTCAAACCACTGCTGGAAGAGGGTTATTTGACCATACCATACTTAAACGCACTGGTCAGCACAGGCTGAAAGCGTAAAGCATAGCCCTCGGTGCATAGTACAGTGCAAGTGGAATGCATTGCTCCCTACCGACAACGTAGCACCGCAGGAGCCTAAATAAACTACGTCAATGCATGGTGTTTGTCCATCCGTACACACATCCAGGCTCAAATTCTGCTAAGCTTCTAGAGAAATCTGACAAGATTGGTGGCATCCCGGGAGGTTTTTGGTCATGGGCAGAACGTGGCAAGGGCCGTTAGAACCCAAGCTGGAAACCGGTTGGGTCACGCTGACCACCGACAAGCTGGATCGGCACACAAACACGATGCGCGAAGTTAACGCACGAGCAACGGAGACACTCCTGCGTTGCTGATAGAGATCGATAGCGAGCGCGCCCTCGCACCGACTCATTAGCCTTTAGAGTGGCATCACGCGTGTCGATAGCACTTAGTAATCCAAACACTCCATTTCACGGCCAATGCATCCGGGAGGGCATTGCAGTGCGCGTGATATAAAATATTACGGGATGTCCAAAATGCTATCATCCTTTAAAAAAATAAAGTTGTAGCTCTGCATTGACTTGCTCATGCCACTGCTGGCAGAACGATTTTAAGTGGAGGGATATACTCAATGGTATTTGGCCTATTCTTCCACTCGGGCAAGATGTCCTGCTTAGGTGGGAATACCCACACTTCACCCCACCACATGCTCGCCATCTGCCGATTGATACAACTGTGGTGTATCCATTAATACTCCTGGGTGTAGAATTTGGACCAGTGACCTTTGGATTGCAAATCCAGTGAGCTAAACGCTTATCCTGTGGCAGCCTCCTTTATCATTTATTTTTAAAGAATTATATTAATACACCAGTCACAGCTAGATTTATATCAACAACACATTTGAGTAGTGAAGATTTGATAAGATGAATCTTATCCCTCGAAAACTCTACACGACAAGAATTGAGAAGGTCCGAGGTGCTCATCAATATAATAACGTAGTAGTTGGTATTTGCTCCATTCTTTAGCGGAAGGCTATCACGAAGGAGGTGTGTGTCACTCCAATTTGAAAGCAGAGGGCGATGTTGCTGTGTAATCCCAATTGAGCAGTTTGCAGCTAATTTCCCAAACTTGGACCGTGACACTGGCACACAGGAGCAATCGCACTTAAAAATGTCGTCAAGGGAATCTTGAACATCTGCCGCGAAGCAGAAGGCGCACATTTTATGGGTAATACACCCTCAATGATA